CCGAAATACTGCAAATATTAATAAGTCGACATTATCTCGTAAGTCCGTTCGTGACTAAACAGTACAACTCAAACTCTGGTTCGCTGCCAATGATATGGCGTGTCCGCGGTCACGCTTGGCGCTGAGCCAACCTGTTTTTTTCTCGACAAGCGACAGGACTACCATATCGTTCATATCAGACGTTTTCCAGCAGTTGGTCTCCTTTATCGGAGTCAGCGATTGGCAGAGCACGAATCTGGCAGCGTTGACAGGGACATGTTCCATCATACGCAACGGAAAACACTGTAAACAAGTGCACAGGCTCGCCATGGACCTCCCTGAACCTTATAGACACATTTGCTCGCGTGAACAGACATTACGCACAAGTTGCACCATCCCATCACCTCTGCGCGGCCCTCGCGTGCGCGCGGCGATCCAAAGTTTCGCGCCCCCTCGCCCCTCGATGTCCGCCGCCGCCCTCACAATCGCAACCATTACTCCTCGCTCCTGCCTCCACCACCACGCGCACTCACGTCCCTCCACACTCTCTCTCGCATATCGAACACGCTCACTGGGAAACGGTGTACACAGGAAAGGTTTTCGCGCAGCTGGGAGTGTTCCTCAAGAAATCCCCATAGCGAGATCTCATGAATCCCGAGAGCTTCAGAAACAGTTCAAGAGGTTTTTAGAAAGAGAAAATCTTCAAACACTCGAAACCGTTCTCAGATTGTGAAATGTTGAGTTACAAACAAAATATATTAATTCAAAACCTCGCTCTCGGTTCTCACACACGCACTCCCACGACATCCCCCCTAATGGCCAGATTTCCTTGTGATTGTTGCGGACGTTCATGAACGTTGTAGCACTTTTAGGAAGTCCACAACCTCTCCCTACCCTCGCCGCTACGCGCGTCTCCTCTTCCCCACAGGTCCGCTTTTGAGGAAGTTATGGTCCTTCAAAGACACCTAACTCAGCTGGAAATTCTCGCTCCATGGCTAAAATTGCCGAATAATCTCCTGTCACAGCCGCAATTACATGCGCTTCTGCTACCGTACTCCAATAATCGGCCCCCCCCGGTCCCCCCGGCGGTAATGCATTTTTACGGCGGTTTGTATAACTGTTACGTAGTGAGACAAGCCTAACTTTCTCTTTTCCTCGTCCTCAATCTTGGGAATAGACGTTGTTAACACTGTGGTCGCTGATGGCCGCTCCCAGAGAGGGAGTTCACGTCAGGTTAACGAATGCTCATTGAATTTAATCGCGATATATCGTTATTATTACCATGTGTGTTTCCAAAACCGGGCCATCGAGAGAAGCTTCATCATACGGAGTTTTTCATAATACCGATTGTTACCGTGGCATCATCTCTGTATTGTTCTATTATGTCATGACTTCAAGTCGTCCATTTAGTATGGGCACCTTCATACAAGTAGAATTTCATAGTGGGCGTTTCATAGTTTCATTTAAGGCGAAAAAAACCGAACGGCAAAAAAAGGGGGGGGGGTCGTACCGACCCCCCCCAAAAAAGAAAGGGGGGGGGTCGGTCGTACAGGCTCGCATCAAAGATCCCCCCGCCCAATCGAATGCTGTCCTTGTTCGCAAGACTTTATGCAACATCTCAAAGAGCAACTCCTCCCGACCCCGATACTCTTTCTTAAGCTGCAATATTGGTCGGTCAAAACCGGGCAGTCGCAGACAGCTCGACAATTTATAACCACGCTGTGGCCGGGCCCAATTAGAGTGTGGAAGAACGGCACCGTGGTCAATGCGTTCGACGAAATTTCATTCCGGAGTTCAGCCTCTTAAAGCTGAACCGTTAGGCGGTCGACCGTAAAGCACAACCTAACTAGGAATTTGAAGGCGTTTGCGGCAGGCTGACCGTATCCCAAACAGGTTTGCAGAGCATTGCAGTAAAGATGCCGACAATGTTGTTCAAACCAGCGTTGTTGCGGTCATGGTTTGAAACCTCGTAGCGGGATTGTAAACGCATTGGAAAGGCCTTACCGCACCTGCGACCAATTCGCCTCCCACGCTCCCCCCTGCTCTCCCCCCGCTATCGGGGTGTACCCCGGGTGGGTGCCCCACAATCGGAGTGACCGGCAGAAATTGGCACGTCTCGAGGTTTCTTCTTCACTGCTTTTGCGCAACAGAAACGACCCGTTTTTGGACCGAATTGTCACCTGTGATGAAAAGTGGATCATGTATGATAACAGGAGACGTCCCAGTGGTTGAGATGGGCCGACGAACCACCGAGGTCACACTCTCCGAAGCCGAATACCTCTTTCGTAAAAAATTTATGGTTCACAGGTCGTGTGTCATCGACTGCTGTTGATCATTTATAACTTTTGCGTTCACCAGGCCAACACCATCACACCAGAACCACCTACTGCTGAAGAAATCGACGAAATGTACCGGGAAAATTGCGTCCAGCTGTCCAGCAGCACTGTCAACAGAAGGGTCCGATTCCTTTTTGGAATCGACAACGCCGCGCCCACCAGCCGTTTCACAAATCACTACTAAGTCCATAAACACTGAAACGAACTGGGGTTGAAAGTTCCTTACCCCACTCGCCATATTCTCCAGACTTTTGCCAACGACTGAACGTGTTTATTTTTCTTTTAAATAAGTTTCTAACCGAAATATCACTCACTCGCACTCGCACCCTCCACTCACCACGCACCACTCTCTCCGATCTCTCATAAGTAGACTCCAAACCACACTCGCTGAGACACATTCCAGGGACAAGCCTAATAAATTCAGGCACGGTGCACATTTTCTGGTGACGTTATTCGTACTCTTTTGTTCCAGCTTGTGTGACGGTAAGTACATATTAGGGCATAATTGAAGGAAAGCATCACAGTTGATGCTGACAGGGAAACGCAGTCGATTTGTCATTCTTGTGTTCCGTTTCCTTGTTCTCTTGTTTCTGTGGCGGTCCTTCTGTTTTTTTGCAAGGCGGCAATGACGATTGCAAAAATGTTAGAAAACATAAAAAAAAATCCAAAAGGACATTGCGCTTGCAATTTGACAGCTCATGCTGGCTTCAGTGGAGTCCCCATTGTTTAATTGTACTATAGCTACAGTTTAACCATCGGAACCAATGTTTTGACAGCTTCACTTACAATTACCTCATAGGAGTATTTGCCAGCCTTCGTTCTTTCTGAGTACGGGCTCGGACTCGCAGCCCGCTTCGCTAACATCAAGGGCACCGAGCATGCCTCTTCTACCTCTTGTGGAACGCGAATTGAGCTTTCAAAACAACAACATTGAAGCAGCATTGGATTGAGGGTGTTTGAACGCTGATTATATAGTCCTACTGGAGAAGTTACATTGGATGAGAGCGTTTTCTGCGATTTCATGCTTTGTGGTGAGAGGTGTGCTTTTGAGTGCTTTTCTGGAACATTTTCAACGCTTGACGCTGATTTATTTTCGAACTATGCCTAGATATTTTGAGTCCACAATTCGACGTGGCATACTTCAACTTTGTGATGCCGTGGTGTCGCTTTCGGAGGTTACAGTTACATTTGGGACGGATCGGTACCTGAGTCGTGTGGTAGCAGTGCGGTTTCGGCCGTTGTAGGTTATCACAGGAACAGTTTCAACCTGTGAAGTGATGTTAATGTTGATAGCACCTTCTGAGCAGAACCTGGAAAGTCTCTGAATTACTGCCGTTAGCGTCTTCCTCCACATTGCTTGGCACTCTAGTCTGTACCTGTAACCAGTTAGGGCTTGATCCACTTGTGCCTTAATTTCAACACCAGCATATACACATCCACCAACAGTGGCATTCTCGGGTAGCTCCACAATTTGCACTTCTACAACTTCACCTCTTGTGCCTTGAAATAGCGATTTTCGATTCATTAGCTATGCATCTTCTCAAAAGTCACATACCTTAATCCAATAGACACATTCCTCATAACCGTCTAGCTCCTGGCTGGCAATCCTACCATCGAGAGTATCATTGAGAAGTTGCCATGTGTTATTCGCCTGCAGTCGTGCACCGCATCTTTCTGGCTGAAAAGATTGGCTCAGCGAAGCCTTGCAAGCTCAAAAATCAAACAGGGCTGTCACCTTCTCCTCGCAGGTCTGTCCACCGTACCCCCTAGGGCAAAGGCATTCAGAGCAGTTACGAGGATGAGGATATCCGCCATTTCTGCATTGCGGTGTCTCTTTACCTTGGCAGTTTTCTGTAACGCTACCTTCTGACTGAAAGCGCTATGGCTAATGGATATCAAAGAATACCTACTATCGCATGCGTAGTACTTGTTCATTAGCTTCACGTCGTAGAACGAAAGCCTGTGAGACCCTAAGGTCTCTTTGTACAAAGGATCATGAGGAGCCAAGGTATGGTTCTTGTTGATGCTACCACTGGAAACGAAATTTTGATCTCTTCTATGCTGCCACAATCTTTCCATGGCGATTTCTAATTGCTCACCCGTACGCTCTGTAGTGCATTACACTACCAGGATCATATGCTACTCCGTGGTTGTTACTGACAGTCTTGTTCACCTTTTTGTACTGGCTACGGAGAGTCCTCTGCAATCGCTCGCAATATTGAAAGGCTATAATGTTAAAATAGAGTCTTACGTTTAAATTGTGTTTATAATATTGAACGTATTTATGACGGTCATATCTTTGATGCGTATGATAGAATCCAAGAGCGTGGCCGATTTCGTGAACAACAAATCCGATCTAAATCAGAAAGAAGCATGCAAGTAGTACCAATCAATTTCCTTGATTAGGTTAACATTTCTTTCTGGTAAATTATAATTCAAAAGTGAAGGGTTACAGGGGGGGGGCAATAAAAAAGTCACTTTTCTTCCTTGACTTTCGAGGCGCTATAAGTTACACTTTATTAAATTCTGATCGGACATTTCCACCACCATCTTGAAGAGCATATTAAATACTATCATGACACTCCGCCACAGCCTTCTGGATGAGCGCCATCGTGAGATTCCGACACGCGACCGCAATGTGGTGCCTGAGATCAGCGAGATAGTCGATTTCTCCGCCACCGTAGACCACCCTATTGAACTCCGCCCGAACCGGGTAATTGAGGGAGTTTAGTCAGGTGACCTACTTGGATATTCCATCTTCTTTAAGGTCTCAGGCTATTTCGCATATCGCTAATAGGCGAGAGTTTTTCTCCGAATACTCTCGTTCCATTGTGGCACCAAACCTGTGGCAGACGAAGTTTCCAAGAAGACAATGAGGCGGAGGTTATTCTCACGAGTTGTCGACTGTAGCCGCCAGGTCAGCTTCAATCCGGAAGTCCATCGCAAGGGGGAAATATAGTCTTTGCTTTCCATACCCAGGTTCGTCACGTCCCATACATCGGCCCGCGCCTTTGGCGACTGAGGTAAAGATGCCTGTCCTAACCGTCAGGGACGTTGGTCGGGCTGCTTCGATGTTGGAGGTCCATCCAGATCGAGAGTACTGGTCTCCAGGTAGCTATCCATGGGTGACTCCATACTAGAAGTTTCGCAGCTGTTTGGAGGTGACATGAATTCCAAAGGTCTTCTCCAGTCAGGCTGCGACTGGAGATGACTTCATATTTTGGTGTACATGAAGGTGATGGGCGAGAGCCAGCTCCTGCTTATCGAGGATCTTGGGTATCTTCCGCCCTGGTACTCGTATCCACGTCCTGTCTGGGCAGCGAAAACTTTGCTGATATGTGACTCGGTCGAAGTGACTTTTCTTATTGCCCCCCCAGTTCGCTCAGTTGCAGTTCGCGGCGTGTCAGGCGCAATGAGTTTGGCGCGGTGCCAAACCCGTTCTCCACCAGTTGTTAAAGCGAGCAAGTGATATGACTGTATCATATCGTTCGTATTACTCGTTTTCTACCACTTTTTGTCGCATGCGCGCTTCAACAAGAAGGCAGAGAACGGCTTTGACGGTGTGAACACTCATACTGCCTGACACGCCCCGTCCGCAGCGAACTAGAGTGTATCTTAAAGGAAATAGTTTCACCGATACCATTTGACAGAGAGGGCCGAGGGAGAGGGGCTGGAAAGTCGAGAAGGGAGATTATGTTGTTTTCCAACGCTGAGGAGCATGAGCCTGCATCCGTCACAAGTATGTAAGGATCTGAAATATCAAGAACAAATTAGCATCGCTGTCATCCCGCATGATTGGTTCTTACCATATTCTCCTACTTCTTCCAATTCTTCTTC